TTGCTGTTTCAGTGTTTCTTTTTTTTTTTTTTTGTACATGTTTGATTCTAAAGTAAGTTGGCTTTGTAGTGCCTAGACGCTGCGCATCAGGCGAAAGTAGCTCGTCTGATTGCTGAACATACACATGGCTCATCTCCTCAGCCAGATTCGGAGGTTTGTTAAGGAAAATCTCTGGTGTTGTCTTTTGCACTTCTCACAACTGGATCAGTCATGCATTTTCGGGCTCCTCCAACCGATTGCACGTTCGGTATCTTCGTACGGTGCGCCAGAAAGGAGTGATACTGTTCCGAACTTTATTTTTTTTAGTAAACAAAACAAACAAGGACCGGCGTAGTGCATTTTCATTTAAGTCAGTTTAATAAAGTTCAAGGCAGTATTTGCTGGGCTCTGTTTTTTTGCTTTTTCTTGGACTTCGGCACTTTCGTTTGGCTAGTATTTGAACCGAGAACAATGTCCTCATCGTGCCGTACAATAGTTATATAGTACCAGCACAGTTTTACTGAGGTTTTGATCGAATAACCTTTATAACCTGAGTTTTGTTTTATATAAAGATTTACCGAGGGGACTTCCTCAATCACAGTCATCAACGGAGGGCGGTTTTTTTTGGAAGGAGGGACGGGGAGGGTTGCCGAACGACTTACATTTTGCCCGAGGAGTATTTTTATGCACTGAACTTACACACAGATGCCGTTTTTGCCAAGCATGATTTCGGTGTGCAGATGTGTTGATATTCCGGGGGTTCCGTATACACCGGTAGCGTGAGGGGGGCCAGCTGTCTGGACACAAGCATGACTTCCTTCTCCCCACATTTTCATCAGTTTTATTTTATTGTTGGATGCATGCTGTGTGGGGGGTGCGCTGCTGCATTGGAGCTTTGTTTTTATTGCATTTGTATATAAGTATGAAGCATATAGTTGTGTTTGCTGTTGTTGCTTTTTTTTTTTTTCACAGAAGTGGCTGTTTGTGGTAGTGTTTTTTAGGGAGGATGCGCGCTTGTGTCGCCGTCCGGCTTATGTTGCCTTAGCGCCACACAATGTTGGCCAGAAGGGCCGGACTAGCGCAATGGTGACACAAGTGAATATCCATGCTTGGTTTTGATGAACTTGCCATATGTCTTATTATTATTATTGCTATTATTATTCATTGATGGTGTCCGCAGAAGTGTTCTTATTTGCAGCATGAGCAGCCAGCTGTGTCTGGCCATCAATCGGCCCTAACAGCTGCTACTACTACTAGTACATATGCGGATGAAACGCTTATGGCGACTGCTACCGCTGCTGCTGCCTCCTCACAAACGCAGCGTGGCATGACTCAGTCACAGTCATCGTCCGGCTTAAAATCACGCTTATTCAATGCTCTTGGCCTACAGCAACAGCAACAACAACAACAGCAACAATCACCATCCTGAGACGTCTTCGTCGCCGCCGCTAGCGCCTGCCATTTTTGCCATCTGTATAATTCCCCGGTTTGTATAACTCTGCTATT